ATATATATCTATATCCTGAAAGAGAAAAAGGTAATAATTTTTAAACTTTAATAAAAAAGTTTATGGCATCCATCATCTATCAAATTACATTAACTTTTTCTACAAAAAAAAAAAATTATATATGTAGCCATTACTTTTTTTGGTTTATTAAATAATTATTTAATCATCAAACACAAAATAAGAGTAACAAAAAATAGATATATGTAATGATTGAATACTTGATTTCATCGTATTACACATTTGTGATCTTGTAAATGTATCTTTACTCGTCGTCTACTCTGTACTTTGAACTCTCTTACATCGTTGAGCTATTTATCCAAACTACCATAACGAGAAAGAGAAAAAGAAAGAAAGAGAGAGAGAGAAAGAGAAAGAGAGAAGAAAGATCGCAACGAGACATGATACCCAGACATGTGACTTTGGACAACGCAAAAATCTTCCCGATATCATGCAGATAGGGGACCGCACAATTGAAACGGAGATTACGTAAAGTTTCTCGAAAACCGCTTTCCACCGGCCGGAAATGAGGATCCCGGCACTCCGGGAGAAAGGGGGAGGGAAGGAAGTACGGGGTGTGAACACGACGACGACGATGACGACGCTGTACGCGTGCGCACCTATATACGCAAGATACAAAAGTGCCTCTTCATAAATCGTTCACCATCGGTGAATCTAAAGACAAATTTACAGATTTTGACAATCGTCGGAGACAAGTAACATCTCTTTCTTTCTCTCTCTTTCAAGATAATTATATATATATATAAATAAATGTCTGTCCAACTGTATCATCAAAGACAAGGTAATTAAAGCCTTGGCATTGCTGATCCATTACCTGAATTACAATTGAAAATAGCAATCCCAAATTATTGTTATTTACAAAACTTGAATCTCTCGTTTATCTCAAAATGCTCCAAAGTCAGTGCTCCAAAAAATACTGTCAGTTACATAATAAATTCCAACGACTCGATTTGTATGATCTTGGATTATAGCATCTTAGATTACGAGCTTTTTCCGAGATCTCATTGTCTGGGAGATAAATCACTCCTCGAAGAATCTGAATACGATTTCGCCGCTTCTTAACTCGCTCGCGGCGATTTCCACCTGAGTCGTCTCGCGCCAGTGCATCGACGTACGAGGCGACTCCTGGTATTGCTCAACCCCACTTCTGCTTCTACCACAGGAAGAGTCGGCACTTTAAAGCAATTTTACACGATTCACTTTCGACGATCATTCGAAATTGAACGGAGTGTTCGAAGAACGAAGGAAAACCGTGAGAAATCATCTGACTTGAAGATTATATACAACGATAATACGGGGATGGAGAAGAGAGCTTTTATCATTTCAGGTATATCTCAGTTGACCCAGATACCTAGTAAGAACAAAGGATTCCCAAAGACAAAGGATCTTAAAAGACGAGGATCTTAGAAAAACTTAAATCTTTATAATGTTTAAATTTGTTTTTTTTTTAATTTGCACTAATAATGCAATTAATTTTCTCGCGCAAAGATTCCGCTATTCTCGCGATAACAATACTGATGACATTGCCGGCTATCTGAACAACTCAAATGTCCGAAGTAATTCCTTGCAATCTCTCCAATATAAAGCGCGAATATTTCCAAAATTATCTCGAGCCCCGGAAATTCGGGCGGAACATTTTAACAGATACGTCCTATATCACGCATTATTCCACGAGCGGCGTAACTTGTTACATAACTTGTTATTCACCCAGGGTTTAAGGTATTACATGTAACGAGAATTTTGAACCCATTGCCGTCGCTGTCGCTGTCGGTTCATGTTTGCATCGAGCCACGGCGTATTATCGCTCGCGGTCCCGCTTCGTACACCGACAAGAGAACAATTTCTGTTCTGTTACATCAGAGTGGTCAGCCAACCCATCCTCGCGCGTTCATGCCGCCTCCCTCTCTCGTTTCTTTCCTCGCTACTTGAAAATTCTCGAGAGGAGAATAAGTTTGCCTTTCAACCGACCTCTTTAGTCCTCGAAAGAACGATCGCGAGCGTGCAGCAATCCCAAATTATTGTTATTTACAAAACTTGAATCTCTCGTTTATCTCAAAATGCGCCTTCAAAATGCTTCAAAGTCAGTGCTCCAAAAAATACTGTCAGTTACATAATAAATTCCAACGACTCGATTTGTATGATCTTGGATTATAGCATCTTAGATTACGAGCTTTTTCCGAGATCTCATTGTCTGGGAGATAAATCACTCCTCGAAGAATCTGAATACGATTTCGCCGCTTCTTAACTCGCTCGCGGCGATTTCCACCTGAGTCGTCTCGCGCCAGTGCATCGACGTACGAGGCGACTCCTGGTATTGCTCAACCCCACTTCTGCTTCTACCACAGGAAGAGTCGGCACTTTAAAGCAATTTTACACGATTCACTTTCGACGATCATTCGAAATTGAACGGAGTGTTCGAAGAACGAAGGAAAACCGTGAGAAATCATCTGACTTGAAGATTATATACAACGATAATACGGGGATGGAGAAGAGAGCTTTTATCATTTCAGGTATATCTCAGTTGACCCAGATACCTAGTAAGAACAAAGGATTCCCAAAGACAAAGGATCTTAAAAGACGAGGATCTTAGAAAAACTTAAATCTTTATAATGTTTAAATTTGTTTTTTTTTTAATTTGCACTAATAATGCAATTAATTTTCTCGCGCAAAGATTCCGCTATTCTCGCGATAACAATACTGATGACATTGCCGGCTATCTGAACAACTCAAATGTCCGAAGTAATTCCTTGCAATCTCTCCAATATAAAGCGCGAATATTTCCAAAATTATCTCGAGCCCCGGAAATTCGGGCGGAACATTTTAACAGATACGTCCTATATCACGCATTATTCCACGAGCGGCGTAACTTGTTACATAACTTGTTATTCACCCAGGGTTTAAGGTATTACATGTAACGAGAATTTTGAACCCATTGCCGTCGCTGTCGCTGTCGGTTCATGTTTGCATCGAGCCACGGCGTATTATCGCTCGCGGTCCCGCTTCGTACACCGACAAGAGAACAATTTCTGTTCTGTTACATCAGAGTGGTCAGCCAACCCATCCTCGCGCGTTCATGCCGCCTCCCTCTCTCGTTTCTTTCCTCGCTACTTGAAAATTCTCGAGAGGAGAATAAGTTTGCCTTTCAACCGACCTCTTTAGTCCTCGAAAGAACGATCGCGAGCGTGCATCTTTACGATTGCAGAAACCCCGCCACCGGAAATCCCGCGGTCGCGACAAGTTGCGATGGAGCTTTTTCAGCCGATGATCGAGACAACGCATTCGACAATTCTAAAAATTCGCACGTGATTTTAGAATCGATGAATCGAGAAAATATCACCGTGTGTCGTGAAAATTTAAAAATATATAAAAATATATATTGCGCAAAAATTTAGATGAACATATATATTTTAATTTTACACAAAAAAAATGTACAATTTGTGATCCGAAAAAATCATCTTGTCAAGTTATGATGTAACTTACAGCGAAAACATAATGTTGATTGCGATGAGCTTGGACACTCCAGGATTTTGTAGCATTCGGAAAAAATGCAACATCGCGAAATGTAATCGAAGAGATAAATCATTAATGTTAAAAAATCCTTAGTACATTTGTATGACACTTAATCGTTCAGTGTAAAAAGAATCTACAATATAAAACAGTGATATCAGTAAGATGCTAATATAATAGAATAACATAAAGTTACTAGTAAATATTTGTGGTGTGAAGTTTCAAAAATGTTTAAATATTCCTTACGAGTTGCATGTGTGATAAATTATTAAAGCAACGATAATCGATACAAATTATAAAAAGAAGAAATACATTTGCAAAAATCAGATCTATTGAATATGTAAACAAGTGTTTCCTCAACGATATCATCTTATGATAACGATCACTTAAGAAAATACTCCAGATAAACTTAACATTACCTCGCTCTTACAAACGAGCGTGTACGCAGCAACAAAACAACGAGAAATGGCAAGACAGGTGAGAAGTGACGAGTGCGCGTTTTAAAATGAGGCGACAATGGACTTCGTAAAATAAACCCCCCTAACGCTTTAAAACGCTACATTTACTTTCGATCTGCCATAATTCACATAATTCTTTAATCTTTCCGCTTTCTCTGTATTTTTATTAATAATTCATAATTATATATATTTCTGTTGTATCATAATTATTTCTCAAGCTATTTATCGCAACACATAATTTATATCTTTTAGAAATGTTTTATAATTGTAAATCTTGTATAAAAGTTTTTTCTACAATATTTATATCAGTCTTTAATTGTTTACTTTCTTACTTTCTTACATTATTAAAGATTTTGAAAACTTGTTAGTAAAGGTTTCTAATTCTTTAATTGTCAATGATTCAAAAGCTATTAACTCACATCGTCGTTAAAAAAATAATCTATTATCAGCTGATTGAAGAATTTATGAATAAAAAGATAATGTGTACATTTTGACGAAGAAATAAAAATTTCGAATTTTTCGCCAGATTATACTTTTCTGCGTTTACTACTATAATCGTTATTACTTTGATGGCAAAAATCGAAAGTTAGGTCGACGACACAGATGCTTACTGCAACGAAGTTTTCACTATAATTCGAAACTTTCTACTCAAGTGCACATCCTGTGGGCGGCTCGCTCGTTTAGGTTCACCGATTCGCGTGTTCGAAGCTTTGCGAAAAGTTACACCGCTACGCTACGCCGTAAAAATTACAATTTGCGAACAAACTCTTTTGCGAGAAACACATGAATTTCTCTTTCATTTATATTTTAATTAAATGTGGTCAAGAAGTTCTGATGATAACTGATAAAAATTTTATCTGATGAAAAATAATAAACTAATTGATAAATTTTTGCCATGATTTTACGTTGTATAAATCAACACAATCAAGTCTTCATATCTTGATAGATTTTTCGATACCCCGTATTTTTGTGATAAATATTTTATATCAGAAATATTATGTGAGGTACATACTTCACATGCAAGAAAACAACGGAGTAGAGAAAAAAATGTAAAAAATTTATTTAAATATTAGAAATATTAACCTATATATAATATATAGAAAAAATATGTATATATATAATCTCACGTGAATATGAAAAGTATATATCCAGACTTTTACGACATATACATCGATTAGTTATATATAAAAATGCAATACAGAAAAGTTTCTAATATTGAGAACGTTTTTTTCGTATAAGTTCTCTTGATAATATATCGAAAAGAAATTATATACGATAAATTTTCTATGTAATTCTTAAACTTTCTTAACTTTTATGTAAGTACAAGAATAGTTATAATAAATTAATTTTAGATTTATTTATGACCCAGCTTTCGCCGGGTACTATCAAAAATTTTTAAAATTCAGTAAGTGTTCCCCTCCACGGAAATCTTTAGTAAAAGGCGAAAGATTTATTCGTCCATTGAAGGGAAACCAGAATGCTAAATCGAGTTCATAGCAGTCCTTATATATACAAACAACCGAATTTCACTTACAAGAAACATTTCTATTCGGTGGACATCTATTGGCCATATCCAAAACTAACAGTCAGCATTCGTTTCGACTCGAGGCCCATGGCCCATGAGGCGCCTTTGTAAATATACGCCGATCAGAGAAATTTAGAGAAAGAAAAAAACTTTCGCAATATTTCTGAAAATTTTTCTCGTTAATTAACTTTGTCAACTTTATAAACTTTAAATTTGTAAACATATTATACATTTTTGTAATTTTTTTCTTTTTGTTGTGAATTTTCAATTCTGGGTGTTTCAACTCTTAAATCTTTCAAATTTAAAGATGAATATCATTTATCCTTGTATGATAATTCACAGGAAGTTCTGTCAAAGACAGATCATGGAAAGCTTTACAAAGAGGAGAAAGCAATGCATAACAATTTACACAAAATCAATCTGAGAAACAATCAACTGAAGGGAAATATAATCTTGGGAAATTACGGCGTAAGTTTATCTCTGCTATACAAAACTCTCTCTTTTTCTTTTTTATTTCTTATATTTATTTTTCTCTAATTGACAAGCGTCTTGTCGAGAAAAAAATAAAATCAGAGAATTATGCCGTGAAGTGACTCTATTATTTTTTCCTGTTCACAATTGTTGCAAAATATAAAGAATCTGACGCATTTGGATGTGAGCGAAAATAGCATTGAAAAATTGGACATTAGTGCCCTGCAAGAATTGAGAAGCGTACGCTGTGCTCGAAATCATCTAACAGAATTGACTCTTTGCGGCCGAAATCTTATATCACTAATCGCTGGAAATAATAGTGAGTATAAACTTTTATATGCGCTTTTAGTTAAGTCGGTTAAATCGGTATTTAAAAACAGCGAGAAAAAAATCAAAATTAAACGAATTAGATTAAAATAAATGCTATTGTTACAGAATTGAAAAAGCTAACTGTCGAACCTGTGCCAACTAATCTCGAGCATCTGGATATTTCTTAGTAAGTAAATATATAATATATATATATATTATAATAGATATCAATTTTTTCGAATTTGCATTAAGCAAATATATAATTATTATGGCCGGTAAAACAGGACGGTCCGGCATCCTCTTAACAATGTTTAAAACTAATGCGAAAAATCTTGCAGCTGCATAGCAGCGTGGAGCGATCTAGAAGAATTGGTGCTGTCCGGAAACAGATTGCAATATCTTCCGGACAACGTGGCTAATCTACAACACTTGCGTGTGCTGCGCGTGCATTCTAATCGGTTGTTAACGTGCCCTACCTTCGGTAAAACGGCGTCCTTGAAGGTGAGACTCTACACGCGCAAACGTTAGTCGTATCGAGCAACTTGCAACGTATGTAAGGTAAACGAGACACCAAAACCAAAATCGCGAAATACAAATTTAAGAGACTGTTACACATTGTCCTCTTATTTAAGCGGAAAAAATATATGCGAAAGATGTTTATCGACTCTATTAAGATGCTAGTTAAGTCTTCGTATTTATACGGAGTTGGCCTAGAAAACAAAAGACTGTAGTAATTATCTCTTTAGACGTATACTTTTTATGTAAATGCAGATCTAAATTATGATTAAAAAATATGTATAGGAGAATAAAGAATCTAATTAAATTAAACGTAATATTCGAAAATGCGCGCAATTTTTTGAACTTTTAAGTATCAATTATGAAACTATATTTTCTCTCTATATTACGATCTCCAATTTTTATTATGTCATGTATCTATATTTTGAACAAAATAATTTTTATTCAATCGAATAATAATTATTGATACATAATATTCTTAAGAATATTAGTATGAAAATATTGATACATATAATTCTTATTCGGCGAAATATGTTTCATAAAAATGTAATATTTGCAAAGCGTTCGTTTATAATGTAGAACAACGCGTAAAGGATATTTAATAAATAAATTTTAATAAAATATAATTTAATTTAAATAAATATGAAAAATATAAAAATATTAATGATGTAATATGATACGAGTAAGTAAATGACAAATGAGTGTAACGCAAAATACGTTCTTATCATCTAGATACTGGATCTCGCGCACAATCAACTGGATAGGGTAAATCTTGCCACGCTAGTGCCACCGCAATTGCAATTTCTCGATATATCCTGCAACTCCCGACTGCACGTGGATCCACGACAATTCCAAGTCTATAGATCCCAGAGACCGATATCTTTGGTGGACGTATCTGGACAAAACAGGCCCAGCCTGCCGTCTCATCCGCATCAACAGGAAATTGTCGTGGCTGAAAAGAATGCC